CCCCCAAGGCCAGGCTGCTTGGCCACAGAGCAGGGCTGGAAGCTCCTGCGTGTTTCCAGGATGTTTTGCAGGGCCCAGTGTGGCTTGCCTGCATGCCTCACAGAAATAGGGTCTTATGAGCCCTGCTCACCACCTACCCCCTGCTATTAAGATAAAAGTGGGGGGCAATAATTTTTGATGGGGTGGCACTCCAAGGTTTTCCCCCAAGGCCAGGCTGCTTGGCCACAGAGCAGGGCTGGAAGCTCCTGCGTGTTTCCAGGATGTTTTGCAGGGCCCAGTGTGGCTTGCCTGCATGCCTCACAGAAATAGGGTCTTATGAGCCCTGCTCACCACCTACCCCCTGCTATTAAGATAAAAGTGGGGGGCAATAATTTTTGATGGGGTGGCACTCCAAGGTTTTGGAAATTGGTCAAAGGCTGTGCTCTTCCATGATATTAATGGAGGGGATGTGGGGTCTGGGATGGTGGTCAGGTGCAGAAGGGAGCTTGGGGTAAGGGATTGGGGTGCAAGAGGAGGTGCGGGGCCTGGGAGGGAGTTTGCCTGAAGGAAACAGTTATGACCTAGGGCAGAGGATCGGAGTGCAGAGGTTTGGGTTGTGACCTAGGGCGGGGCAGAGGATTGGGGAAGAGGTGCCACAGGCAGGCTTTGGCAGGGAAACTTACCTTGGGTGACTCCTGGCCAGCAGCCCAGCAGGATTCTCAACCTGCCTCACTCCCGCACAGACTGCAGAGGCCATGTGCATTGGTGAACAAGGGCATGCATCATGCACTACCAGTTTTTCAAACAGGCAGCTCCCATTGGCCAGAAATAGGCCAATGGGATTGTCTGGGGGTGGGAACAGCACGAAGCACCATTCCCCCCTCCCTTAGGCTCACAGCTGAGAAAGAGAAATGGCTGCTGCAGCCTTTTCTGAGCACTATATGGGGAGGAGGGAGTGAGACATGAAGCAAGCAAGGAGTCTGCCTCAGGCTCCCTGCTACATCTGCAGGCCATATCCAGTGGTTTGGTGGGCTGGATCTGGCCCCTGGGCCATATTTTGCCTAGGTCTGTGTTAAGGGCACAAGAGTGTCAGTGATAAAGGATGAGCTGGAAAGAACTCTGGCAGGGAAGGAGAGGGGTTTCAGAGTGGGCCACATCAGACTATTTGAATGCACACAGAGGTCAGTGCAGGGCCAGGCTGTGCTGAGTACCTGTATCCTGGCTCAGCTACCTCTGTTGAATAGCCTGTCCCCTTTCTCTTTTGCAGTATGAAGATGCCTTTACTGCACGGAATTTGCAAAACTGGACCCTACCCAAAATCTACAAAGAGGTAGGGCCCCTCTGCCTTCACCCTGCATTGCCTATGGACTCCTTTTATGACAACGGGTCCCAGAGCTCTGCCTCACTGCACTGAATCTGCACTTCACTTGTACCAGAAGAGTGCCTGCACCATCTTACAATGGCACCTGGGCCCAGCCGTGTCTTAGCCCACCATCCTCTGCTATTCTTCCTGGCTGCTCCTAGCCGGGAGCTCTTAGCCTCCAACATGAGTTGGGGCCCAAAGGAGGAGACTGGCAATAATACAGAGTCAATGGATCCAGAATAATCTGGAGAAAGGACCCTGCATCTCCCTTGCATCGGTGCTGGGATCAGACCAGGGTGGGCCAGGTGGCCAGTTTGGGGGCCTACAAGTTTGGATCTCACACAGCTGGGAAACCCTGTTTGCCAAGGGAGACAATGTTGTCAGCTTGACTGATGGACTCCCACTGCCCCCTCAGCCCTTTTCAGGCACTCCCACATAGGCCAGCCCCAGAGTGGCTGTGGCTGTCCATTTCTGTTCTTCTGACACAGGGACAGTTCAACCCATTTTTCTTCTACCCTCAGCGCCCTTCTGCTCGGGAAGGCTACACTCAATTTATAGCCAATGAACGAGGACACCTGCTTCCCTCAGTGCCACGTTCAAAGGTGAGACGGTTGGTTTGACTTGTATTGCCTGAGCAGTTTTCAGGGTTGGAGTTGGGAACCCCAGTGAGTGGGTAAGTAACTGCCTGCCTTGTCTCTGTTGTCCATCACTGTGCTATCTAAGCTCTGCCAGGTACTTCAGATCTGCTTTGTGCAAACTATAGGGAACTAAACTGAGCAGTGCCCAAGTTCTGGCTGATCACCTCATGTCCCATTGCTGAATCACAGTAAGAGAAGTTAACCCGGATGTCTTCTGCCCATAAGCATTCAGTGCGGGTGCAGGTCCAGGGAGCAGTGTAATCACAAGCAGGAAGGGATATGCCCGTGAGCCCCCATCAGTGTGTTGCTTTTTGCCCTTCTTGGACTGGGTTCGAGGTTGCTCTGTGTGAGAGAGATATTTTCTAACCCTAGGCTAGGAGACCAGCTGGTTTTATACAGGGCTCATCTTTCCTGGGGCACCCAATCCACTGTGCAGGGCCCTCTCCTGGGAACACTAGCTCTGCCTAGTGGGACAAGAGCCCAGCCTTTGAGAGGGTGCAGCTAGCTGGTGCTAGTAGTCAGTCACCTCAGGAAATTAGTGAGGAGGCGCCAGAGGCAGCAGCTGGATTCTGGGGTGTTCTTACTACCCCCACTTCACCCGCCCTTAGAGCCAGGGCTAGGGAAGCTACAATTGTGTGTAAAACTGGTTATTGATGGCTGTTTCCCCCTCTTGCGGTGCAGGAAGCTTTGGGTAGTGGGGTCTCGCTGCCAGCTCACTAGAGAAGGCCCCTTCAAACATGGCTGTAGCAGTCGTTTGATACCAATGCAGACAGGGCTGCTCTGGGAACTTCTCTGGGACACAGGGCTCTGATGCCCAAGATCAAAGCCATCTCCCCCTGCTCTGCAGGCTTCCCCCTGGGGCACATTTATGGGAACCTGGGAGATGCCACTGAAGATTCCCCCAGCCAAACTGAGCCTGACCTCCCGCTCAGCTGCCGCAGCCTCACGCCTCACCAACTGGATCCACAAGTCCACCACACTGACCAACGCCTGCAACGGCCTCCGTCCACAGATCACCGGCAAGGTAGGGAGCCCTGTGCACGGGGGCAGCACCATCCTCCAGGGAGCTGACAGCACCAGGCACCTGTTTGCTGAGGCTTGCATTGAACCCTTGTAGAGCAGAGGTGGAGAGATCCTGGCATGCAGGCCTTCCTAGGTGGCACTGGGAAACTGAGTATCTATTAATTGTTGGTGCAATTTTGTGCCTGCACTAATCTGTACCTGCCCTGAATAACACAGGGGCTCTGTGCTGAGGAAATGATCAGATAGTAGCTGTGCCCCAAAAGACCAAGGCCAGGAGTTCTGAAGCCAGCTGGGAGCTTCCCACGTGCAAATTTCAAGGACACGCTTTCCTAGGCTCTTGTCCGTCCTTTCAGAGCAATTTTCTGAACATAGCAGCCTGTGCCATGCTCAGGAGGGGCTGACTCAGCTGCATGGTGAAGGCACCTCAGTGGGCTGCCAGCCCACCCCCATATCTGCAACCCTCACTCCCCATTAAAACCCTAATTTCTGCTAGTGCTGAGGATTTGTTCTCATCTCACTATGGCCATGGACTCTGGAAACTGACAGTATCTGGGGAGGGGAAATACTGAGTTGGCCCCTTTCCACCTGGGTAGGTGCTAGATTTGCTGGTATGCTGGCTTGCATGGTTGTATTGACTGGTGTAATGGGGCTGCTGGGGGCTGTACAGTGTTAATTGTGCACTGCCCTGGCAGTTTGGGGTGCATGCCCATGCAGTGATGCAGCTGCACCAGCAGGGGGCGCTCAAGCCACAGCTCTCACTCCTGTCAGACTCCTGCTGCTGAGCGGGAGCTGCACAGAATGCAGAGGAGGGTCCCAAGGCCCCAGGAGCAGCTTTCATGTCTGGAAGTGACCCTGTCCCAGCTGCTCCTGGTAGTGCTAAGTGGCATCTCTTTGGTTGCCTGACAAACTCACTCTTGCATAGAAGCCCGTGCCCCAAGCAGTGAGGAGGACCTGTGACCTCTGTCCACAGTGTCTTCCCGAAGGGAAGGGCTGGGAACCCACAGACCTGAAAGTGGAGCTAGGACATGTTGGGCATTTTATCCAGAGCCAAAGGAAGGGGCTCCTGGTAGGAGGAAGGCAGGTCAGGCCTTCTTGAACCTGAAGGACACTGGCCAGCCTGTTTCTAAAGGGTTAACTTTAAGCACAGACAGTAAGCTCTTCCATGCCACTGGGGTCAATGATGAGAGCAGACTGGCCCTGGGTCACAAGCCCTGGGTGATGCTTGAGTGGCAGCCCATCCTCAGGTGTCCGGGCTGAGGAAAGGAAAGCATTACAGCCAGCCTGGGGAGGGACCCACCAGAACATGGAGACCCAGGCAGGGGGAGAACTGCAGCAAGTCCTCTCTCTGCATGGAGCCCCAGGTGCAGAGCCCAACTGGTAGTAAAGTAGCTTGCGTGCAGGGCCAGCTCTGCCTACCTCTCCCTCCCGCTCTCCCTGCTGGCTCCTCAGAAACTCCTCCCTGGCACTGATGGCACCTCAGCTAAGCCACAGGGGTAGAATTCAAACCACGATTGCACTTCTTCCATTCCAAACAGCCTCAGGAGCCTGAATCACACATGCAGACCACCAAGGAGCCTTCTAATAAGAACAGCCGGGCATCTAGCAGAGGCTCCCAGCACCCCAGGTCCTCCGCCAAAATGCCCCCCGAAGAGGAGGCTTATCACAAAGAATCCGCCCCCCTCAAGGTCCCACTGTCACGCCAGCCGGGCTGCATGGATGTTCGAATCAAAGGAGCCACCTCCCAAGAAAGCTCAGTTTTGTGCCAGTCAGGCTCAAAGGAGGATAGGAACAGAGGTGTGTCAGAGGTCCCACTGTCACGCCAGCCTGGCTGCATGGATGTTCGAATCAAAGAGAGCTCCTCACCCAAAGGCCCTGCTTCCCTCCGACCTCCTTCAAGGGAAGCTAATCCTAGGCGAGCCATCTCTGCCGAAGTCCCAGCTGCAAGTCGACCTGGATCAATGGAGGCTAAAGCAAAAGGAGTCAGTTCACCTGAGCTTGTGGCTTCATCTTGTCCTGAGTCAATGGAGGCCAATCCCAGGGGAGCCATCTCGCCTGAGGCCTTGGCATCAAGTCGCCCTGGTTCAAAGGCTAGTGAAACTGCTGCGACCCCGAAGAGAACTTCAAGGCACGCAGCAGAAGGGAACGGGAACATGTCACCCAAAATGGAAGGGTCAGCAAGACCCATGTCCTGCCCTGAAGAAAGATTTGAGCAAACATTCAACTGAAGGCAAATTCAGCAAATTCTATGCCCAAGACACAAACACTACCAAGACCAAGGACAAACATTTTGCTCAGCATTTCAAGCCATTCTTGCCCTTTACTTTCTTCAGTTCTAGTCTTCTCCATCCCCATGCTGGAGGGATTTCCTTTCCCTCGCTGCTTTCCCTGCATCTAGTTGTAAATCTCTTCATTTTTAATCCTGTTTGTGAGCTAGTTTCTTTGTGCGTAGGAGCTTCCCCCTGGATAAGAACGAGCCCGGATGACCAGCAGACACACAATCCACTTTCAAGCCTGTTGAGCCCCAAGGTTGGGGCTTTCGGACAAAGACGCTGCCTGAGGGACATTCACCCCAGGCACAAATCATTTTTCAACCTGAGCATGAGGACAAAACCAGCCAAGGCTGGCGTAAGTTGGCAAAAGGGTGGTTGGTTCTGAAGGAGTCCAAGGGATGCTAATGATACGACTGTACCTTGTGGCCAGCGGGTGTGTTCATGGGAATCAACACAAAAATAAAACTAAAAAACCAAAAATCTCCCAACAGTTTTCATTTACAAGCATTGGCATCAGTGGTAGGCCAATGGTTGGCACTGTCCACTCCCACAAGCATTAATGCCAAAGGCCTTGGGCTAGCACACACCCTCCACTCCCACCCATCCACACTAGCTCCTGACAGCAAGCTCGGTGCTGCCCCATCAGATTATGCTAGAGCCCTGTATGCTGGGCCTCTTGCTCTCTACCGGCCATGTGTTCTAATTGGGGGGAAGCACTTGCAATCTTCTCTATTTCAGGCTGTTGGGGTCCTGGTGAGATGCCTTTGCAGTTCTCAGCCACTCATGGGCTCTCAAAGTTTGATATGTTGCTTTCCTGCAGGGCTGGATCTTCTTCTAGCACTAAGAGCTTCACTCATCTCAGGAGCAACAACCAATGGTGGGGAGAGGGGCAATCTAGAGTCATGGAACAAATACAAAGCCAGCCCATGGAGGCTCAGTGGAGTTCTGACTCTGTCCCAAGCGGATGCAGGCTGCAATGCATAAGTATTGCTCCAGCATGGAGGAGGGGGAACCAGGACTAATGCTCTTGGCACTAGCAGAAGAATCCTGCATTACAAAGCCTGGCAGGGGGTGGGGATTTCACTGCACTATAGGTCCTCTCTGCAGGTCCAAAACAGAGTGAGTGGCAGCTGGCTGGGGTGGGGGAGCTGGCAGGAGCTAAGGACCCCAGCTCCTCTCAGCAGCTGGTTTGAACCCAGCCCTGGATGGAAGGGAGCCCGGGGGGATGCAGTACAACAGCTGTTGGATTGTGGGAGCAGGTGGCATTCTACTCTCCCACATAGCAGCCCGAGTGGCCACAGCTTGACTGGAGATGGAGTCTGGGTGGGACTTTCCAGCACAGGGATGTAGGCCAGGCCTGTGCCAAGGAAAGGCAGCCCTGCAGCAAAACATCTTCTTAAGAGTCAGGCTGCAGGACAAGAGATCTCAGAATCAGCGTGCCTGCTCCTGTCTGGCCACCACGTAGAACTAGACTTTGGGGCACTCACGCTCCTGGCCTCTTAGCTAGACAATGCCACAACTGGGCCCAGCAATAGGCTCCTTCCCACTCATCCTGCCATCTGCCCTCCCACTCACGCACCTCCCTTTGCTGGTCCCAGCCGGAAAAACAATTTAATCACCAGCAGCTGAGGAGCATGTGTGGGCAAAGGAAGACAGGACTGGATCCTCCCAATCTCATCCTGGCATGCCCCTCCTATCTAGTGCCTCCTAGTGAGCCCAGAATAATCCCCAAGAAATTAGCCAGTTGGCCAATGACATATACTCCTCTCTCTGAAGGTGGGACAGAAGCCCAGGTTCCTCTTTTAGAAGGCAGGTTTCAAATGCAGAGAGAAATCATAGGCAAAGCTCCAGAAAGGGCATGATGGAAACAGAATTACCCCAAATTCTGCAACTGTAAAACCACTGCCTGTCTCTGCTGCTTCTCCCTGTTACCAGGGTCCTAGGCTGCTCTGATTCCCCAGAACTCAGAGCTTGTCTGCCTATCTCCCCGTCTGCATTGACGCCAACTCGGTGCTGGGAGCCTTTGTGAGAGGTAATTAGGCATGGCAAAGTCCAAACTTGTTAACAGCAGACACGTGCCAAATTACTGATCAGAAATCAAGAGATTCTAATTAGCAGCCATTTCAGCAACTGCAGCATATAATTGGTAAGGGCTGACACAACAATTTTCACTCTTTGGGGGAAGGTAACTCCTGCTGGGCTGCTCTCAGTGGATTGCTGCAGACTGCATGCATTTACAAAGGAGGTGGGATTAAGGCTATGCAACTCCTCCCCTTCCCACACATGTTTTTGGAAGGGGAGGGAGGGTTGAAGCTTTTTTTAAAGATATTTGTCCCTGCTTGATTCCTGAATTTGGAGAGCCAGGTCTCTTCTGGGCTTGGATCCTCTGTGGTGACTGAGGATGATAACATTGCAGGAGGCAGAAGTGAAGGCTGAACGTCTGGCAGGGGGAAGGGTTTATTCAGACTGTTACACTACTGTGTTTGCTTCTGCTGTTTTGTGTTTTGCAATATTGTAATTGTAAGCTGGGAACCATCATCAAGCAGGTGTTTCCAGTGGGATCCCACAGGTACTGGTTCTATGCCCTGTGCCATTTAACATTTGGATCAGTAACCTTGAGGAAAACATCAAATCATCACCAATAAAGTCTGCAGAGGATACAAAAATCAGGGGAGTGGTAAATAATGAAGATGGGTCACTGACACAGCACTGTGGCTACTTACTACACTGGGCATAAGCAAACAACATGCATTTTAACATGGCTAAATGTAAACATATGCATATAAGAACAATGGATGTCAGCCATGCTTTTGCAATGGGTGGGGGAGGGAAAAGATCTATCCTGGGAAGCATTTACAGTGAAAAAGATTGGAGGATTGTGGTGGATAATCAGCAAATCCCTGGATGCATGAATAGGAATCTCAAATAGGAAGAGAGAAGTTATTTTATCTCTGGACTTGGCACTGTACTGGGCACTGCTGGAATTGTGTGTCCAGTTTTAGCATCCAGAATTCAAGAAGGATCTTGATAATTGTGGAGGATTTAGAAAGCCATGAGAACAATTAAAGGGTCAGAAAACAATGCTGTGTAGTGATTGACTCCAGGAGGTCAATCTACTTAGCTGAACAAAGAAATGGTTACAGGGTGATTTGATCAAAGTCTGTAAGTAGCTACAAAGGGAATATACAATATTGAGCTCTTCAATCTATCAAAGTAGAATACGATTCAGCAGATGGAAGCTGAAGTTAGAAAAATTCAGACTGGAAATAAAGTTTAAAATCAGTGGTCCTCAACCTTTTTATGCCCATGATCAATTTCCAAATTTAAAGGGCAACCCAAGATCTTCCCTGCCCTTTCACCAAAGCCCCACCCCACTCACTCCATTCCCTTCTTCTTCCCTTGCTTTCCCCCACCCTCAATCACCTTTACTGGACTGAGGTGGGGGTTAGAGATCAGAGTACTGGCTGTGAGAGGGGAATCAGGGCTGAAGCAGGTGACTGGGGTGCAGGAGGAAGGTACAGTGTGCTGGCTCTGTGGGATCAAGGTTGAGGTGGGATTTTGGGGTGCTGGCTTGGAGGAGCTGGGTTGGTTTTGGGGTGCTGTCCCGGAGGGGCTGGGTGGGTTTTAGGGTGCTGTTCCTGGGAGGAGGGTCAGGGCAGGGTGCTGGCTTCGGGAGGGGACTCAGGGCTTGGGGTACAGGAAGGGATGCAGGCTATGGGGTGTTCGGGCTGGGGCAGAAGTGCAGTAAAGGGTACTGGCTCTGAGATGGAGGTAGGAGGGGGTTCTGGGAGAGGGGCAGGGGTGCAGAGGTGGTGCTGGCTCTAGGAGCTTCTGACATGGGGAGCTGGTTCCTGGGAGCAGCTGCACCACGTTCCTCTCCTTTGGCTACAGTGTCTCCTGGGAGTAAAAGCCCTGTGGATCAGCAGAGACCAATGTCTAGCCCTGGGTAGACATTTATATCCATGCAGGGCTCTACACATTCCCAGAAGGGCCCAACAAGCACCTGGAGGCAGCCCACAGCTCTACGCACTGCTCCTCTTGGCCAGCACTATCCCATTCAGCTGCCGTTGGGGAGTTTCCTGCTCCTGGCCATGAGAGCCACAGGGACAATGCTTTGTAGGCAGGAGCAGTGGGCTGAGACTCCTGCCCACACACATGGGGCCATGCTGGCTGCTCCTGGGAACAGGCCGGCAGTGTGGGGCCAGGGCAGGCAGTGTTTCTCTTGTGTTAGCCAAGGGGTCAGACAAGATGAGCACAGTGGTCCCTTCTGGCACTGGAAGGTCTGATCTAATGTCAATATCTAAACTAGTGGTCTCCAACCTTTTCAAGCACAAGATCACTTTTTTAATTTAAGTGCAACCTAGGGATTTACCTCAAAGAAAATGCAGAAACCGCAGTGCTGTAAAAAGCTGACACCAAGTGCCTACTATACAGGCAGTCCCCAACTCACAAACGGGTTACGTTCCGAACACGTGGTCGTAACTCAATTTGGTCGTAAGTTGGAAATACCTTTGAATACACTGTTCGAAAAACTTGACCTACATCGTTCTCAACTCGAAAATACTATAATGGGGTTAATGGGACGTTGGTCGTAAGTAGGTGTGTTCGTAAGTGAGGGAGTGGCTGTACATAATTATACGTTTTCCCTAGGATACTTGTGACAGTATGCTATTTGACAGTGTCTTGGTGCAGAAGGCAGGAGTTGTGGGAGCTCAAGGCTGGCGCAGTGGGTTAGGGTACTGGCTCTGAGGGGGGGCTCAGGCAGCAGGCTGGGGTGCAGGCTCTGGGAAGGGGCTAGGGTAGGGTAGGGATTGGGTTGCAGGAGGGTTAGGAAGGGGTTTGAGCTCTGGAAAGGAATTTGGGTGCACGGTGGCTCAAGGCTGGGACACAGAGTTGGGCATACAGGCTTTGTCCAAGTGCTGCTTCCCTCAGGCAGCAGAGCTAAGGCAGCAACTTGAGGACGGGGAGGAGTCAGTGACTCTGAGCACAACACCTGCAGCTCCCATTGGGATAATCTCTTTGCCTCCTCCCAGTCAGGTGCCCATGTATCAGATGCCTCTCCAGGCCTGCATCTTCACGACAATTTTAAGACACTCCCCTCCGCAGCTCTGCCACCTGCACTGGCTAGAGTGGGATTAGCCACATGCATTTTAACCTCATGACAGCTCGATGGTAAATGCATCTGCAGATGGTGCACTCTAGGGCCTAGAGCTAACAGGAGAATTACAATCTCACTGTTATTCTCAACAGAGGCCAAACCCTCCCTAGGCACGGGATACTAGAACACACAGAGCTGATGCATTGTCTGGGGCTACGTGGGAGGAACCTGGCTGGTCCTGCAGACAGAGGAATTCATGTTTCAGAACAGTCGCATGCTGGCTTCCCAGTTTCAACAGAAGGATATCCCTCCTTGCAGATAGTACAGTCAGTCAATAGCTCCAACTACTCCACAGAGGAGGCAGAGCCGCTGAATAGGAAGGAGCCATTTTTACAATCGCTTTGCAGAGCAGAACAGAGCCTGCAAATGTTTAAACAACTCCTGGAGCACACTGGCTTTCAGCAGCAACCTCTAGCCCCCACGTGGCCTCACTAGCACAGAAATGCCACCACAATGAGCTGGGAGCATTTCCCCATCAGTGTCAATGAGCGTGGGGTGCAGGCTCACTGCGTCAGGCCCCTCAAATACGTATCCCCAGGGGCAGCCAGCCACTATGGCACCACAATATCAGACGAGCGTGCCCTGATTCCCATGTCACAACACACACCTTTGTGCTGCTTCTCTGAAGGGAACATGACACACTCCACTTAGGGTAAATTCTCCATGTGTTTCATTAGTCTATCGAAAACCCCAAGTGATAACTCATTTGAAAATTTGTAACAGTAACACAGCTGCCAGCATACGGTGTGAAAGATCAAGCCTGCTTTACTGGGAAGGGTGGGTGTGTTACAAACACACATGCCGGCGTGACAGTGCACAGAGAGGTTGGGAGGGGGAGACTGTGGTGCTGGCAGTCCTCCAAAAGGTTCAAAGAACAGATTTATTTTCAGAGGAAAAAAAACAGATTTGATTGAAGACTCCAAAAATATACGGGTGCTTATCCTTCATCTGCTGGAAGAGCTGCGAACTGCTGCACAGAGCACTCTGAATTCAACACGCCCAGCCCCAAGCACTGGGCCCACTACAAGCTGTCCTCTCCGCACTGTGAAGCCCACAGGCTGCTGACTGCAGCAGAAAGCCAGATGCCAGCAGTTCAGCATTTTACCCAGGACAACATCTAATTCCCTCTTCCCCTTGCAAGCATCACGGGCGCTGGCGTCGGCGGCTCAGTCTGTGCCCGCTCTAGAACCAGCGCCAGCATCAATGGGGACAGTTGTCTTTTAAATGAGCCTACATGCATACGCTAGGCTAGAGGCACTCTCATCTCCTCCCCCAGCCCGGCTCAGGCCCAGTGAGGGGGCACACAGTGCCAGTATTGTCTCAAGCTTCAGGGCAGAGCAGAAACCAAGTCAACCAGAGTTAGTTTGAAAGCACAGCAATAATTAAGGAAGGCAACTCCTCTGAGCATGTTCTAGGTGGCTAAGAATCAACTGCTTATCAGCTGTCAGTTACCAGCTGCATGTGGCTACCTATAGCCTTGGACATCCTGGCCTGGGACACCTGCCCCGGCAGTCTAGAAGGGTGTTCTGGGATCTCACTGGGCTAGTGACAGCACTCAGGGCTAGTAATAAAACTCTGATCATTCACATGCCCTAAGAGAGGGGAAAGCACCATCTTGCCCCCAACAATTTAGTTACCTAGGAGTCTCTAGTCCCTTGTTCCTTCTGCCCTCCCCTCACACACACACAGAGCTCTGTCTGGACCGGATCACCAGATGAACCAAATCCTTGTAGAAGAAAGCAGGGCTTCACCAGGGAGGCACCGTCACATGGCAGCGAGTCCAGCAGAGGAAAGCAGAGTCAGGACCAGGACCAGGACTCCAGACTGATAGACTTGGGGAATCTTGAACCCTTTCCCCATGTCCCACATCTAGAGACAAAGAGAACAGAGAGACACTCAGCAAGGAATTAGAGTGTTCCACTTGGGCACTCGCCCAGTCTGTGGCTGAACCCCGGCATGCCAAGCCTCCCAAGCCCAGGGCAGTCAGAGCATTGCAGAAAATGGGCCAAGAACACGCCAGAGAAGGGAACAGCCCCTCTGGCAATGGAGATTCTGCATGGAGTATTGTGTTGACTGAAAATGGGAGGAAGTGCAGAGAACTGCTCAGGTGAGGCAGGGTCTATCACAAGACCTGTAGGAGTCTCTAGGGTAAGGGGTGCAGGCTGTGCACAATGGCAATGGGAGCCCCAGCACTTCAACTGGGCAGAGCACTAGAGATGCTGCTGCCAGGGATCACCCTGGGAACACCCTAGATAATCCAACAGAAATGAGCAACCTTTGATAACATCCTGTAGAGTTAGCTACAGTGATTCATTCATCACACAAATGACAAACCCTGTCCCAGTGAAACTGGGACCACCTGGTTTCTGACTGGCTATTAGTAATGCATGGAGGGGGCCGGCAGCAACAGACAAGCCTTGTCAGTTCCCAGATCTGCCACTGACTATCTGAATGACTTGGTGCCGGATACTTCAGTTTAAACTTTCTAAATATCCATTGGTGCTGGGGGTCCAATCTGAGACAGTGGCCTGATTTCCAAAGATGCAGGGCAGCCTCAGCGCTAATCTTACAAAGGCACCTTTGGAAGAATAGGCCCCTGATGTCTGAGTAGGCAGCCAAAGTTAGTCCACACTCCAGAAAACTCTGGATATAATAGTTGCCATGTGCCTCAGCTCCCCATCTGTGCATGGGAACTTACTGATCCCATGCAGTAATACACCAAGGAGCTCCACAGCCCAGCTGAAATCAGTCACAGGAGACATCTCCCCTACCAGTGGGGAATCTTACCAAAGCAACATTGCCTCTAACCTGGCCACCCATGCAGTCAGCCCTGTCCCGTCAAAGTCAGGGAATGCAGCGATCAGGAGTCATTTTCCTCAATGTCTTAACTTCTCTCTGACTGCACCTCTCTATCGGGGTTTGAATCAACCCTCAGTGTCAGATATGGACCAAATCGGTCACTTACTCTGCCGCTAGCCTGGCCAATGTAGGTCTGCTCCATTTCACACAGGAATTATCAGGTCATCAGAACACGTAGCTTAGCCATTTAGTGCACTAAGGGTGAAGAGAGCTGGGAATTTCACATGGATAGCCCTAGGATAACTGGTCTGATTTTGATACCTACCTTAATTTAGGCCTGGGTACTGAGCTCTCAAGTGGTGGAGCAACAGGAGTGCATGCACACACACCAGCAGCACTGCAGTTTATTCAATGAAAAGAAGCACCTAATGTAAGCATTACCATCCCCTGCCCCGCATTTGTGCCATGTAGCAATCCGGCTGGCCAGCTGTCAGCACTACTGGTTATTTTAAGATGGATTTGGAGGTAGTATCATTGCCTGTTTAATGTAAATGCACAGTTACAGTCTTTCAACCTGCATTTGACTCACAAGGCCCTAATGGGAAGGCTGTTAAGACTTGTTCTATTTGCTTGACAGCAACCCCAGGAGCAAACGGGGCTCAGCCAGCTGGATCAATGATAGAGCCCAGGGCCAGGCCTCATGTTCGCAGATGTAATCTGCAGTTCTCGGAGGATGCAAAATGGACAATGTTTGCAGCAGTGCCAGCCACACCAGGGTCATCCAGCCCCTCCAACTGAGGGATTTACGAACCACCCACACCTCACTCCTCAGGATGCCACGGATCATTGCAGGGACAGCTTTGCCAGTGCTTTCTGGGCTTTTTTCATTATAAGCATCTGGTAATGGCCAGTTCCAGAAGCAAGATACAAACTCTGAAGATCAATGCTTTATTACAGCAGCAGCGCTTTTGCTACCCAGGTGAGAACACAGGCCATGTCAATGCGTGCAGCACAAACCCATGTTTGAAGAACTGCATTCCCTGAGCCGTACTTCCCCTAGAGCAGAAGGGATCAGGTCACGCTATGAGCCAGCTGCCTTTGCAATTTTGTTTCTGTAAAACTAAATCTACTTGAAGTTGCAGAAACACAAGACAATTGCCATCTGCAGCAAAAGCAGCATTGCTTTTTCCCTCACTTTGCACAGCCAGTATTCTGTTTAGCTGGTTTTTAAATCTACAAAGCTCTTCTACGCTGAAACACTGTTTCCTAAGTTTCAACCCAGGGCAAAAATATTAAGGGTTGTTTTTTATCAAGAGACTACAATAGGTAAAATAATATTAATATATAATATGACTATTATGAGCTGATATTAACACTGGAAAAGAGTCATTTTGGAAAGTCTCACATCATCAGAAGACAATGACATTAAAAGCCAGGGATATTAAACAAGAGATTACACTTTCAGGAGTGCCAAAGGGACTTATGTCCGATTTCAAATGTGACTTAGGCACTTTTGAAAGTATTACCCCAGATGCTTACCCAACTCCCTGAACCTGCAGACACATACATATAAGCAACTCCGCCAAGACTACTCACAAGGTGTCGGATTCCATTCCAGGTGTGGTAGGTAAGGGGAAAAGCCAAAGCAAACTTAGCCGAGTAGATAAGAGCAGGCCCCAGGCTGAGCGACTTCACAAATTCCAGGTAATAGGGGAACTGTTCTGGGAGAATTAAGGCAGCCATGCCAAAGAGAGAGACTCCTGGAAAAGAAAGAATCCATAAATTGAACCAGCTGCCCTCCTGCTCCCAGGGCCTGAAAAGCCAATGCTAACTCTCCACAAAATGAACCAACCTCTTCTCTCTCTCTCCTGGTTCCTCTGAACCAGTACAACATAACCTTTCACGTCCCTGGTGGGAGCTAACTGTTAAGGACTTGAGCAGGAGCGCCACCTGCTGAGAGAAGGGGACTGCTCCAGCCTTGCAGGGTGCCTACCCCCCTTTAATCCATTAACCAATTAAATGGGACTTTACATCCCTGGCTCCCACCAGGGAGCGGCCTTCAGATCTGCATGTCATCGTGAGGAGATGGAGTTACTTTGCTCCAGGAAAAGTCACTTTTTGCTCTGACACACTTGCACCTATGAGAACAATTCCAGTCACAGACTCAACTTGCTAAACAAATAGCAAGAGAATGCACGGTGTGAGGTCACCTTCTCATGTCAGACTGTTACCACCTGAAGTCAACAAGGCTATTAAGTACCTTACTATTGGCCCCAGTCTTGCCATCACTGATACATGTCAGTAACCAGACTGACTTCCAGTGACTGTTCCTGAGATTGCACTGACACACTCAAGCATTTGCAGAGTCAGGGCCTTAGACCACAAGCTAAAATACCTGGGAATGCAGGTTTCAGAGGACCCCCTCAAGGTGTGAAATTTAAGCGGGGAGCTCCTCCAGAGAGTCCTTGAGTCCGAAACAACAAGACAAAAATATCCACCCGCCAACCAAATGGACAGTTTATAAGGAGCCGAGCTAAGCCCAGCCCAATGGCATGTCCAGAGCTCTTCTGACATCAATGAAGAGGCTGGTGCACAAAGCCGGCTTGACAGGAGTACACTAGCATGAGAAGCAGTGGCAGTTTCTCTGTCACTTCTAGGCCAAAAGGCTTTTTAACAGATGGTGCTGCCAAAACGGGAGCGATCAATGAGAGAAGAGCTAGCCAAGCTGTGATTAATCCTCCATTCTGTAGAGCTTGATTGCTCGCCTCTGGTATGCTGGCTTGAGCAGCTCTATCGGCAGCAGTGCCAGCGCCATCCAAGCCAACTAGCTGCTTCCCCACTCAGCTACTTGTGGTTTCAATGACCTCTGTGTTTGCCTTGTGAAGTGCAGGAATCGAGGGCTCGTGTAATTGCTGGCCTGGCTGGTGAAAGGCTAGCTCCCAGCTCTGTTCCATTTTCTGGGCTGCACATCTGTCTGGCAAGACAGTGCAGCCAGTATGGGGTTACCCTTTGGATTGTAAAGCCTGGGGAGCAGGCCTCTTGCTGTTCCAATAGCAGAGGTTAACTGAGGGCTCATTCTGTCAGTGAGAAATAAAGCCTGTTTTACAGACAATGGCAATTCTGTGAGCTTGAACAACTCCTTGCAGGTCATTAGCAAGCTGGCTGCTGGCCAAGCCCCCCCATAGAAAGACAGGCATTTCCCAGCCCTCTGGCGAGTGGGCTAATTTTGGCCTGGTGAGGATGACCAACAGGACCACAAGGCTCGGACCATGTTGGCAAACCACCTCTCTACCTAGTACGGTGTCATTCCTCCTACTTTAGTATGACAGAGAAGGGCACATGGGCTAACTCAAAGGGCATCAGGAACGAACCCGCTGGGCTCAAAAGATATATTGCTCTGACGTAATTGAAATCCATCTGGGGTGATGTGCAGCAAGCACTCAAACGCTGCTGTGCTCAATGTAGCTCACTTCAGTAACTGAAATCAGACTGTGCAGCTCACGCTGCTGACATCTGGCACCTGGCTGGACCTTTAGCCTTTCTGCTGTGTGACAATAATGCTTAGCTGCACAGGTTACCAATTCTGGAGTTTAATCATGTGAAGGCCCAAGAGGGAGGCAGGGAGCAGAGGAAGACGCCATGGTCAGTTTCAAGCCTTGAGGCCCAACCTACACTAGACCCACTTCAAACAAGCAACTGTTTTAGGGAGTCCACCTGGAAGCAGCACCAAAGTTGCTAGTGCCTCTTTTAGCCAACCTTTAGTTAAACTCCCGCAACGGCAGAAACAGAGTGTTCTGGTTCTGACACACAAGCTTTGCTGTGGACTTCATTTCAGATTCCACCCACCTTATGGAAAGTGTGCGTGTGTGTATATATGTATTTGCGGGATTTAGCAGGTTGTCTCCCCACAAAGATATGCCCAGGCCAGCTTTAGGGGTTGATGGAGAGGGAGGACTGGTGAAGTTATTCATAGTAACCCCTCAGTCTCTCCCTTTCCATTTAGTTCTAAGGGCAGCAGTCCAAAACCACTAGAATTAAATTTGATACTGAGTCACCAGTAGGGAGTGAGGGGCACGGACTCATGCAAACCCATTAGTCATGGGTTTTCCTAAAACCTGCAGTCGTATCCCATTGCTTATTGCGGAAGATGCATTTCTGCTCTGAAAATACCTTGCAAGTCAGAACCACCCCCAAACATCTTGGCCTAACAACACATCTATGCTGTGAGCAGCTGAGAGTCTCAGAGCTTGGGTCGACAGATTGGGGCTATGGTACTGAACACAGCTGTGTAGACCTTGCAGCCCACTCTGGTCCCTAGGCATCAGAGACTGAGCTGCAGCATCTACATAGCTCTTTTTAGCATGGCAGACTGAGTCTGTTGACTTGGGCTCCTAGACTGTGCTACAAGGGGGCCGCTTTACACTGCCAGAGAAGAGGGAAGGGCAATAGGATAATGAGAGTCAGAGAAACTGCTAAGGTTTCAACATTAGGGTTTTGGTTAAATGGTACAAGGTCAAATTATCTGTCTGGACATGATTCAGCAGCCCCAATCTTGGTGCCACCTACTCCCCCACCCAGGGTGCACTACAGTGTCTTGGTAAGGGGCCCTAATGGGGAGGCAGCAGCTGTATTTCTCTAGGGCCTGCACCAATGAGATTCTGATCCACAACTAAGGCTCTTAGGCACTACAGTGATACAAATAATAAGTACCTACAAAAAGCTTAGAAAACCCATTTGAATTTTGGAAAGTATATTCTGAACTTGCACGTTCATCTCATACCTGACAAGTGGCTTTCCCATGAGGGGCTCCCGCTTGGGGCCATTAATGGGAAGCCATGGCAAAGCAAAAGCCAACAACACTTTGCACTTACATACTACCACACCCCATCTGAGAGCAAGAAGAGTGAGACATCCCCAACACACAAAACAAAGCCCTGGAAGGGGAAGTGAATTGCTGTGCAAATTCAGGCAAGGAAGTGACAGATTTCAGACCCAAGGGCAGGTTTTCTGACTCCCATTCTCTAACCAATAGAAAATGCTGCCTCCTTGACTTTCCCAGAAAGGGGCACATGTACAGGGTACCAGGTCTGACAACCAACAGGGGTCTGGACACTAGTCTATAGAGCCTCATACAGATGCATAATTTATATTGACAAATATAAAGCAGATATCCACAGAGCTCTATGATGAGTCAAACCAGCAGGGCCATAGTCAGCAACCAGGCCAGGAACTGCAGCAGTGATAGCAAACACATGTCAGGCCGTTGCTTATAGCGATCCGCGCCCAGCCCAGGCAGCTCCTCTGGCACGGCTCTGCCCTGCCCCAGCAGTGTGCATCTCCTGTCATGCCCTCACGCACACTACTGTAGCACAACAGCTATTAGTGAGCTTGGTGCACCCCAAATGGGAGGCAGGGGCACGCGATACAGCCACGCCAGAGAAGCTGAGTGGTGGTCACATATGCTGCTACTTTTCCCGCTGCAGTTCCTGATCCAGTCTCTGGCCCCGGCCCTGCTGGCCTCACTCATTGTTGCCAGAGTTTGGCAGTTCTGTGGATACAAATGGTGTATCAGCTCAGGGCTCTACTAGTGTACATGGCAAGACACAGCTTGCAGAAGGAAAAGAAGGAGATTAGAAGCTCTGGATAACTTCCCTACCAATTGCAATGGGTACTTATTTGCGCAGTCAGTGCAATCCACTACAAATCCCAGCTGTGGCAACTACAGCCGAAACACTGCAGCTGCTTGCCTTGAGGACAAAGAGAGAGGAGGTAATCAACTCAATCGAAGTCAAGTTGTCTCAGTAGTGGCTGCAAATGAAAGCTCTCTATGCTAATGCTGACCACAGCCCATCCACTACCAAAGGTACCTGAGGCAGAGAATCACACACCTGCACTCAATGCAATGCCAGTGCCACGGTGGGTGATAGACATCATCATGGGCAGAGACCACCTGCAAAACAACACACCATGTCAGAAAGATGAGCCACCGACGGTGCGCGGGTGATATGCAAACAGCACGCCTGAGGTGTCTGAAACATGCTAGAAGTGAGACAGTCTGGGGAGAAGCCTGATGTAATGCGAGGTTGAAGGGCATGCTGGCCTTCCAGACACACTGGAAACTCACGTAAACCTGCCGGAGAAGGGGCTCAGAGGCAGAGACATGACCGATCTGTACCCAGACAGCTCTGTGCTGCTGGCTGTATACGTCTGCACTCAGAATTATTCAAGGAATCTAGCCAGAAGGAAAGGAAAATGGATGGGGAATTTGCAGAGGTGTCTCAGGAATGACAAACCCCACTGGCAGGAATCCTGGGAGGGAGAAAGCCCGTGTTCACTGGGAGGGCATTAAGGGAGCAAGGATGGGGCAGAGCGCAAGGCTGTCACCAATTCAGAAGGGCAGGATAGGTTCAGGCTTCCCAATACATGGAGAGAAATGAGAATAATCTCAACACAACAGGCAATTCAGCACAGGAGACTCAGATCATGGGAACAACCCAAAGCAGAGACACTGGGCACTGAGAAGGAACAGTCTGGTGGCCTCACATGATTCCCCTCCTCTACCTCATGTCACCCTAACACCTTTGGACTCAGGTTTTTGGGGGAAATAATCCTTAGGCTTGATGTAGTGCCTTCCAGCGGGGAGGTTAGAGGGCTCTGAAGACACTAACTAGATCTCCCAACCCCTTGAAGTAGGTCAGTCTTCATCTGTGCACTGGCAATAATAAAAAACTGTCACAAGTGGGAAAAGTAACAACCATGCCACCCATCCCCCAAAATTGTACTGTCCACAGGAGAGCTAGAAATACAACCCCGTTTCCCACTTCCCTGCTCTAGCCACAGGGTAGGTGTTTCATGATGTCTAAAGGGGAGGAAGCGGAAGGAAAGACATGGAGGGGTAAGCCCCCAGGCCCTCTGCCAGACTCTGGAGCTTTACTTGTAGATGGTGATATGAGGCGACATGGGACGGTTCGACTGGACGTTTTTATCCCAAACTTGAGCCATCTCCTCCTTTGCTGCCGTTCCCATGGGGACCACACTGGAACAAAAGGAGATGCGTGAAGTGAGAGGAGCAAAAGGAAGAGCAACAGAATTAAATGTTCTACCCTGTACCCACGGAACATCACTGTCTGAGCAGGGCTGTACCAGATCACTAGGGCAACATCAGAGGGGCATTTCACCTTGCAGAACTGCTACATCCCATGGGAGACACCTCACCCATCTCCACACCAGCACACGTCAAACACTGTCCATACATAATGCTGCTCCCACTGAGCAGCTTTGTGCTCTTTGCAGTTTTATCCCAAAGCAGGAAAACTACCTGAATCATGGGCATAGTTCTGACTATGGGGCCAGCTCATAACTGCCCTGCAAGTCAGCACCTAGAAAAAAAGAACTCAAGGGCAGAATAAAAATGACACCAGGTATGCATGAGCCCAAGGAAGACATAGTGAGACTACGAGTAAGACTGGAGATGATGCCAGGGAAGCAGGCTATTGACATGAATTCATATCTACAAATGCCATCAGCGGTCAGCATCAAGCACACAACTTAAACATTACAGCTTTAAAAAGGACTGCCCATAAATACACCCGTGTTAGCCCATCCACAGCCTTAACCAAAAAGGGAAAGAAAGGCTTTGTAACGTGTTTAGAAGGGTAACAAAATGGGGCCCTGGTGCACTTATGGGGTGGAGGGAGAGTTTCAAACTCTTAAACTTTGCCATCAGCGGTCAGCATCAAGCACACAACTTAAACATTACAGCTTTAAAAAGGACTGCCCATAAATACACCCGTGTTAGCCCATCCACAGCCTTAACCAAAAAGGGAAAGAAAGGCTTTGTAACGTGTTTAGAAGGGTAACAAAATGGGGCCCTGGTGCACTTATGGGGTGGAGGGAGAGTTTCAAACTCTTAAACTTCTGCTAGATTTCAACATTTCATAATAAATGGAGAGAAAGTGTTATGCTCAGTTCCATACTGATATCCCCAACGCCCCCAACCTGAGAAGCACCATCCGCAGCCAAGTCGGACTATTAGTGATCTGATAACACGTTATATAATGCTGATACCATGCAACCTGCTCTTTACTGCCATGGTAATTGTACGCTGTACCAAAGAAAGACCTTGTAATTTTATGTTCCCGAGATAACTCGGCAATTACACTTACAGCCTGATTTAGCAAAAAAACAAAATAACAGCTTCCCCCACCCCCTAAGCCCGGTGATGGGAGCTGGGAAGGTTTCTGTTGACCATACCTTTGTTAAGTATAAAGTTACTGTGTACACTGCACTGCAGCGTACACAGAATGACATTGAAATGGAGCCGTGATGGGCAAAGCACAGGGATGCAACACAGTCACTGATGTACCTGTATGACATGCAAATCCCAGTCAATGCTGCCCCCAGAACACACTATGCCAAAGGCCCTTCCAGACTCCTCTAAAATGAGCCTGCTTTTATTCCAGCTACACTATTGTAATCCAACTGTGTCTGTACACGTACATGCTCATCACTGACCCATTCAGTAACTGCCAGTTTCAGGACTAACACACTCCCCGGCCTCCAGCCAGGAATTTATTTTATCCATGGACATAATTAGTACCTCACAAGGGAAACACCTGCAGGCTATTTAACTAGCCATATATTTATCATGCAATGACATAGTAAATACCCTGCCAATACACGGCACCAGCCAGATATTTGAATGGTTAGAATTGGTAACCAAGCAGAATATATATATACACACAGTGTAGTCTTAGAAGGGATCCCTTACGGAGAAAAATTAAAGGAATTAATTCCTATAAAATCTCAGAAACTCACTGTCGCACAGAAAGGCTGGGGCCAAGCCGAGTCCACAGGCAACGCTGACCCACGTGTCTGCAAAAGAAAAGACCAGAAGAGCTCTGTCAATATTGGATAGACAAAGCAAGGGATAAATGCATACAACATTGGAGCATTTTTATAACCAGGAATGGAGGAAACTGTAATGCCTGATGTTTTAAGAGTGAATTGTGAGGGATGAGGAATTATTTTTAACATCACTTGTAACGCCGACCCTCGCTATTAGCTAGACTCTCCAGTCTCTGTCCAAGGGTTCACTCTTTATGATACCCTGTAATTACCATACTGAGCTGTAATACCTTCCTAATAAGACAGGCATAAACAGCACTCTGCACTAACAGCGAGGCTGACGCAGGCTATTCTTCACTCTCAGGAGAAGCAATTATGAGGGCCGGGAAGGAAATGTCCCCAAAAGACGTGCCTGCCAAGCAGTATGAAAAGAATGGTTCAGACTACAGCTCTTCAAGCATCTGTAATAAAGAGATCACCAGCTTTCCTCCTAAAAGCTCTTTTTCATTATATTGTTTCACTCTCGCTATTCGTTATTCTCCGAGTGTTAGTAAGATGGCAGGTCAATGCCACAGCCCAATGCACACAGTATTTCAAGCACATCAACACTGGAGGTGGGAGGTAAATAAGGTTTTTATGGTCTCCAAAGCAGTGGGAGCCATTCTCTACAGATCAATTGTAGTAATTGTGACTCTGACATTCAAGGGCATTTCTCCAGCAAGAAGGGCAGACTCTGATCCAGCCACAGCTGAAGAGTTTGCAGATGTGGGTTGGAATCTACAGCACCCGCTCTCTCTCTCTCCAGAGAAACTGTCAAGGACAAGGCACAAAAGACAGCACTGCATTTCCTGGTGACATGATTAGAATTAAGTGTATAACAACACTCCCCACTTTCATCTACAGCACATTGACAAACACTAATTAACCCTCAGATGCATGCAAACTGTGTCTGCTCCAGCATCTCAAGAAATCTCTCACTGTTTCATTAACACCAGTCAGTAAACACAGCACCAACATTTAACTATCCCCCAGCAGATCTGGAAAACATAGTGGTAAAAACACCTGGGCACCAGACCCCCAACAGGATGTCATAGGTCCATTGACCTCAACTATGCTGTAAAAGTTTGCATAAATCAAGACTCTGGCTCCTGGATACCATTTACAGTAGAGATGGGCAAAATACGGCCCGTCAAACCTTTGGATATGAACTGCCATGATACTCTGGGCTGCCAATATATCATGGACTAGTGGGACCCTCAGGCAGGCTCCCTGCCTGCTGTGCCCCCACATGCCACTCAATGCAGCCAGCTGCTGGAGTCATCTGAGTCTGCACAGCACACACCTCTTGGGGAAAGGAGGAAGTAGGAGCTGCCTGGACTGTGCTTGAAGCACAGGTAGCACATGGAGAATCCACCCTTCAAGGGGTGTGCAACCCAGAGATATACAAGGGTACACGCCTCCCAGCCAGAGCTTGCACCTGGCACCCCACCCCCTTGTTCCATCCAACTTCCTGCCCTAGGTCACAGCCAAAACTCTCTGCACCCCTTCCTGCATGCCTGTTCCAGATCACAACCCCCTCCCAGACCCTGCACACCCCTCCTGCAGTCCAATCCTAAGCTCCCTTCTGCACCCAAATTCCATCCAAGACCCCATATCTCCTCCATTAATTATCACAGGAAAGTGCAGCCCTTGATCACTTACCAAATTCTTGGGAGTGGCCTCCCTATCAAAAATTATTGCCCACCCCGATCTACACAAATATCAGAACAAGAAAGGTTTTAAAAAAAACAGAAGTGACAGCGGACACAAAACGATAGCACTGATGGCTCTGCACTCTCAGGATCAGCCTCATTTTACAATTTAGTCTTTAGTGCAAGGGCCCTCTTTTTATTGTGTTTATAGAGCGCCTAGTTCAACAGCACCATAGCCCATGCCTGGGGTCCCTAGACACTACTGCAATTAAAAATAAAACAAAGGGAAACATCACACAGTCGTACAATGACCTGACCATGGTCACATCGTGAGTTAGCTGGCATTAGAAATTCAGAACCTCTGTCTCCTGAGATCAATTCACTATGCCCTATTAATATACACACTGTCTGGGATAATCTAGTTTATAGTTGCTCTGTGCTCGGATCCCAATACAGTTCTCTGGAGTGTCTTTCATTATGAAGCTATGGTAATGACAAAGAGAATTACTATGACAACAGACTTTTAAGGATGAGAGCTCCCAATGTGGCCAGATTCCTCCCATCATCCCACTCCAACTTCTTTCAGTGAAAGATTTTTCTGGAAGCTGGAGGAAAACTGAACAAGGAACACAGCCAAACAAATCTGGCATTTCTGCAGTCAGGAGAGGAAGGAGGATCTAGAGCAGCCATGGTCAGCCTAGGCTTATGAGTGGGCTGAATGAGTGACCCTCCATCTCAGTAGGCCACAAGAGTGTTGTAACCAAGATAGGGTAGTTTTGCTAACTGTGCTTGCATACCTAGAATTTGCAAGGTGCGCTGACTGAACCTTAGCAGCACTTTCAATGACCGAGAGCCATGTGCTTGCTCTGCATGCAATGTTGTGTGGAATCGGCATGCACCTCACTTAACGTGCCTTTACTAAAGTGACATACATGTAAAGCAATACCAGCAGGAAAAAGCTATGCAGCTGGAAACCAGTGGAATCTAGCTACTCTGCCACAGACAATAGTAAACAAAATATCTTGTGGGCCACACACAGAACCCTGTTCCTTGAATCAGTATGGCTTGAGGCCATCCCAAGGCACAACCGACACAACCTTTGTGGTACAATTCAGAAGTGCTGAGAGCAACAGAAAGAACTGCTCATGGCATTCATCGACCTAATCAAGGCCTTTCACGCTATTAATCCTGATGCGCTATGGAAGATACTATGTAGATCTCATTGTCCACAGACATTTATTTCCATCATCAGACCGTTCTATGATGGAATGGCTGCCACCATTCTGTGCAACAGCTCAGAGACCAAACTATTCATCATTCGCACTGTTGTCAAGCAAGGCCATGTCACTGCTCCAACATTCTTCACCATTTATCTTGCCTCGATCTTGATTCTCATCCACGACCACTTTCCTGATGGAATTTACACAATTAACTGGTAAACCCAAGTGTATCAGTTAATCTTATCAACTACTTGCACTTCCCCACCCCTCCTTGCTGCCTCTGTATCAGATAATATTTTGTGTGGTTACACGACTATTCAATTAATGACTAACATCCCTAATCTGGATTAAATATTCTATGGATGGACAACAATTCAAAGAAAATTTAAGATCACTAGAGCTGGCATCACTGACAGCCTGCAGATAATTGTGTCATCTTTACACACATAGATGCCAACTTGCAAAGTACCCTACATCTTTTCTGCAGAAGCCTATTACAGCTGAGGTCTCTCTCAACATCAGGAAAACCATGGTTTTCTACCAGCTCTTACCTGCACAAACTACTCTTCTTACTCCACAAATCACCACTGGTGGAAAATCCTTAGAAAATGTGGACCATTTTCCATACCTTGGCAGCCACCTCTCCCACACAGCCAGCACTGAGACAGAAATCAAAGACAGGATCTGCTGTACTAGCACATCACTAAACACGTTTTCAATGACAGGGATCTGCAAACAGGCACCAAGATCTTGGTTTACAAGGCAGTTGTCATCTCCACCCTTCTCTACATGGCTTAAAAGACATCTCAATCTAAAGACATCATCTCAGTCAGCTGGAGTGGTTCCAGTACCAATGCCTCAGGAGGATTCTTGGGATCACCCGGAAAGACCACATTAAAAGGACAGTTCATGAAACATCAACTGTGCAGGTTTGGGCACTGCGTGCCTGACACTTGCCTCCCAAAGCAAGTACTCTTCTTGGTTAAGTCAAGGATGACAGGATCGTAGAGGGCAGGGGAAGCACTTCAAGTACACACCAACCCAACTGGGAGGACTTGAACACAGCGGTGCCATACTATACATCAAGCCACACCCATTCTTTGGAGAACAGGCTGCTCTGAAAACAGAAAAGCAACAGAGGAGAAAAGAAAGGCACAATACTCCAGCAAACAACTTTGCCTCCTCCAAGAATACCCGTCACTTCTGTGGGAAAATCTGCAGGGCACAAACTGAGCTCCTCAGCAGCCTAAAAGGCCCTCAATAAACCCTTGTGGCAGACATCATCCTTGTATTGAGAAATAGCCAAAGAAGAAGAGTTATAGACCATGCTCAAGTCACCTCTTAAACATCTCTTCAATAAACTAAATAATTAAAAATCCTTTTGTCTTCCACTGTAAGGCAAAGCTTTCCAGCACTCAAATCACTCTTATGGCTCTTCTTGAACTTCTTCCAATTTTTCAACAATCTTTCTAAAGCAGGACACCAAAACTGGACACTATTCCTTTACTGGTTTCATTAGCACCACAGACTACAATGAGATCTACTCTTCTCATCTGCTAGAGGAAACTAGATCTCATATGAACACTGAAAGCACATTCCTAGGGCACTGACAAATTCACAGCCAAGAAAAACATCACAGACCACAAAATATTGTCTTTTGTGTACTTTTATTTTTACTCTATACTGTACAGATTTCATAGAGAAGACCAGCATTTCTCAAACAGAGTCTTTAACCAAAGGAAGTTTCCAGGAGGAGGAAGGATCACAAGGTTATTTTAAAGGGGGGACCTGCAGTATTGCCACCCTTCCTTCTGGCCAAGGACCCAGCTCTGAAGGCAGAACTAAATGTGGCAATACCATAGTAGGGATGTAAAATCCAGTTTAATCAGATTATATTTAATGTTTAAACAGTAAATCAGTTAACTGCTTAAATTGGAACGGGAGGAGAGGGGCGCCAGCCGGGCTGGAACACCGCCCCACCCCGTCCTCCAGCCTGGCCAGGCCTGCCACGCCACAGGCTGCTCCCACCACAGTACAATGGGGGCTGCTCAGGCCAGACTAGAGCCACCGCACTGCAACACAGGTGGGTGCTGGGAGCTGCTCCAGCCCGGCTGCCCATGGAGCAGCCCCCTGCCCATGGTGTGGTGGACCCTATCCATTCCATAGGACATGATATTTCATTATTTTGACACGATCGCTACGTCTATACTGGCATGATTTTCCGGAAATGCTTTTAATAGAAAAGTTTTCCGTTAAAAGCATTTTCAGAAAAGCGCATCTAGATTAGCAGGACGCTTTCCACAAAAGCACTTTTTGCGGAAAAGCGTCCGTGGCCAATCTAGACGCCATTTTCGCAATCGGGGCTTTTTTGCGGAAAACAAATCTCTGCTGTCTACACTAGCCCTTTAGCGCAAAAGTTTTTTGGAAGAAGACTTTTGCCCAAACGGGAGCAGCATAGTATTTCCGCAAAAGCACTGACTATCTTACATGAGATCGTCAGTGCTTTTGCAGAAATTCAAGCAGCCAGTGTAGACAGCTGGCAAGTTTTTCCGCAAAAGCAGATGATTTTGCGGAAAAACTTGCCAGTCTAGACACAGCCATAGTGACTGCAGCAGTGGCAATAAATGAAAACAGTCACAGATATACCTGGTGCTTAGCCATCTATCCTGTGCTGTTTAATACTACGTTATGATACCCTTAGAGGTGATCTGAACGTGGAGAAGTGCTTGGTTTTGTAGGAGCTGTTGGAGATTTGTTTTTTCCCCCTCTAATTTATGACCAATGAAAAGGCCAAAATAATTACACTTGTCAAACCTTAGTGGGGACAGAGTTATACCAATATAAAAGTGTCTTATACTCGATTATTGTAGCTGCAATGCCTAATAACCTGGGACTAAAGCATGTGAGGTAATATCTTTTATGTGAGCAAGTCTGAAAAAGAACTCTCTGTAAGCTCTGAAGCAGGGGTAGGCAAAGAGCCCTCTACGGGCCAAAAGCCAGTGGATCTGGCTGTGGCTGCCCTGCCACTGCCCCACCCCCAGGCCAATCAGGGCCTGGGGACAGGTAACCGCGCTACGGCTATGTCTACACTCGCAGCATCTTGCACAAGTACAGCCATTCTTGCGCAAGAATCCACAGAGCATCCACACTGCCCGCCCACTCTTGCACAAGGAAATTTACAGTACGGCGTGGTAAGAGGGCTTCTTGCACAAGAACTACGCTTTTTTACCAGGTGTAAGCCCTCTTGCACAGGAGCTCTTGCGCAAGAGGGCAGTGTGGACGCTCGGCAGGGATTTCTTGTACAAGAAACCCCTATGGCTAAAAGGGCCATCAGCGCTTTCTTGCGGAAGAGAGCATCCACACAGCCATGTGCACTCTTGTGCAAAAGCACAGCTCACACGTGGCAGTGTGGACGTGTTCTTGCGCAGAACTTCTTGCACAAGAACCCTTGGGCAAGCTTGCGCAAGAAGCTGCCAGTGTAGACATAGCCAAAGTCTCCTTGCTCCCGCAAAAGCACACGGCGACTAGAGAAACGCAACGGCTGTTTTAAAACAGCAGGCATTTCTCTAAGGGTCGGGGAGGGAAAGACTTCTTGCGCTCCCCACCCCAGGCCAATCTGGGGGTGGGGGGAGCACAAGAAGACTCCTGGCCCCACCCCTTCTGCCCAAGGCCCCACCCCTTCTGGGGTGGCCAGGACCACTTCAGAAATTTCTGGAAAAAAAATATATTTTCAAAACAAAATTAAAAATTTTAAAAATTATTGCCCATCCCTGCTCCATAGAGTCTCTCTCTCTCACCCACCAGCAGAACAGGTCCAGGAAATGTTAATTATCTGACCCACCCGACCTCCCTTATACCAGGATAAATTATTCCCCTTCTCATATCAGGATAAGTTGCACCAGTAGAACTCTGCTCACACTAGTATGATTTAAACCACATATCCTAAACGAGCAAAAAAAAAAAAATCTCAGAGGAGTAGCTGTGTTCATTGTTTTTAAAGTTACAAACTAGCAGTCCTGTGGCACCTTAGAGACTAATAAAAATGTGCATAACTATAGTGTCATGCGCTTTCATGGGCAAAACCCACTTCTCCAGATGAGCTGAAGTGGAGGAGGGAAAAAAGCTCCTCTGAAGCAGCTGAGACCTCCTGAGGTCTCTTGCAGCCCTGTGAGTCTATGAAGAAGTCTGTTTTGCTCAGGACACTAGACATGTTTGTTGGTCTCTAAGCCGCCACTCGTTTCCAAACCAGTAGAGTTATAACCGTACAATGCCCGTGTGGGCCTGTACAAGCCCTTACTCCGTTATAAGAGGCAGGGCCGGTCTGCCCAGGCATCAGGCCCAGCTCACTTAAGCCTCCCTCCACCTGCCAGAGCCTGCGGGGCACAGACGGTGCCGTTGAACTCTCCCTCGCAGAACGTGCCGCCCTGGCGACGCGGGGCGCGTGCTGAACGGCCGGACGGGCACGGTCCTGGCGCCCCCCGCCCCCCTGCAGCCGGATTCA